TGTGTGACTTGTTATTACGCTCATTTGTGTGACTTGTTATTACGCTCATGTGTGTGACTTGTCATTATGCTCATGTGTGTGACTTGTTATTACGCTCATGTGTGTGACTTGTAATTACGCTCATGCTAACTTGTTATTACGCTCATGTGTGTGACTTGTTATTACGCTCATTTGTGTGACTTGTAATTACGCTCATGTGTGTGACTTGTCATTATGCTCATTTGTGTGACTTGTTATTACGTTCATGTGTGTGACTTGTTATTACGTTCATTTGTGTGACTTGTTATTACGCTCATTTGTGTGACTTGTTATTACGCTCATGTGTGTAACTTGTTATTACGTTCATGTGTGTAACTTGTTATTACGCTCATTTGTGTGACTTGTTATTACGTTCATGTGTATGACTTGTTATTACGTTCATGTGTGTGACTTGTAATTACGCTCATTTGTGTGACTTGTTATTACGCTCATTTGTGTGACTTGTTATTACGCTCATTTGTGTGACTTGTTATTACGCTCATGTGTGTGACTTGTTATTACGCTCATGTGTGTGACTTGTTATTACGCTCATGTGTGTGACTTGTTATTACGTTCATTTGTGTGACTTGTTATTACGCTCATTTGTGTGACTTGTTATTACGCTCATGTGTGTGATTTGTTATTACGATCATGCTAACTTGTTATTACGTTCATTTGTGTGACTTGTTATTACGCTCATTTGTGTGACTTTTTATTACGCTCATGTGTGTGACTTGTTATTACGTTCGTTTGTGTGACTTGTTATTACGTTCATTTGTGTGACTTGTTATTACGTTCATTTGTGTGACTTGTTATTACGCTCATTTGTGTGACTTGTTATTACGTTCATGTGCGTGACTTGTTACTTCGCTCATGTGTGTGACTTGTTACTTAGCTCATGTGTATGACTTGTTATTACGCTCATGCTAACTTGTTATTACGCTCATGTGTGTGACGTGTTACTTAGCTCATGTGTATGACTTGTTATTACGCTCATGTGTGTGACTTGCTATTACGCTCACGTGTGTGACTTGTTATTACGCTCATGTGTACTTGTGTGACTTGTTATTTCGCTCATGTGCGTGACTTGTTTCTTCGCTCATGGTTTTGACTTGTTATTACGCTCATGATAACTTGTTATTACGTTTATTTGTGTGACTTGTTATTACGTTCATTTGTGTGACTTGTTATTACGTTCATGTGTGTGACTTGTTATTACGCTCATGTGTACATGTGTGACTTGTTATTACGTTCATGTGTGTGACTTGTTACTTATCCCATGTGTGTGACTTGTTATTACGCTCATGTGTGTGACTTGTTATTACGCTCATGTGTGTGACTTGTTATTACGCTCATGGTTGTGACTTGTTATTACGCTCATGTGTGTGACTTGTTATTACGCTCACGTGTGTGACTTGTTATTACGCTCATGTGTACATGTGTGACTTGTTATTTCGCTCATGTGCGTGACTTGTTACTTCGCTCATGGTTTTGACTTGTTATTACGCTCATGTGTGTGACTTGTTATTACGTTCATTTGTGTGACTTGTTATTACTTTCATTTGTGTGACTTGTTATTACGTTCATTTGTGTGACTTGTTATTACGCTCATGTGTGTGACTTGTTATTACGCTCATGTGTGTGACTTGTTATTACGCTCATGTGTGTGACTTGTTATTACGCTCATGTGTGTGACTTGTTATTACGCTCATGTGTGTGACTTGTTATTACGCTCATGTGTGTGACTTGTTATTACGCTCATGTGTGTGACTTGTTATTACGCTCATGTGTGTGACTTGTTATTACGCTCATGTGTGTGACTTGTTATTACGCTCATGTGTGTGACTTGTTATTACGCTCATGTGTGTGACTTGTTATTACGCTCATGTGTGTGACTTGTTATTACGCTCATGTGTGTGACTTGTTATTACGCTCATGTGTGTGACTTGTTATTACGCTCATGTGTGTGACTTGTTATTACGCTCATGTGTGTGACTTGTTATTACGCTCATGTGTGTGACTTGTTATTACGCTCATGTGTGTGACTTGTTATTACGCTCATGTGTGTGACTTGTTATTACGCTCATGTGTGTGACTTGTTATTACGCTCATGTGTGTGACTTGTTATTACGCTCATGTGTGTGACTTGTTATTACGCTCATGTGTGTGACTTGTTATTACGCTCATGTGTGTGACTTGTTATTACGCTCATGTGTGTGACTTGTTATTACGCTCATGTGTGTGACTTGTTATTACGCTCATGTGTGTGACTTGTTATTACGCTCATGTGTGTGACTTGTTATTACGCTCATGTGTGTGACTTGTTATTACGCTCATGTGTGTGACTTGTTATTACGCTCATGTGTGTGACTTGTTATTACGCTCATGTGTGTGACTTATTATGACGTTCATGTGTGTGACTTGTTGTTACGCTCATGTGTGTGACTTGTTATTTTGTTGTCTTTACCCCAGTTCTCATTTTGACGATATGACATTACTTGGATTGGCCTAGATTTACATGATAAGTGTCGCCCATGAAGCAGAAGACGCTTACCCTTCCGGAACACCTGGTTTCATAATCCTTGTAACTTTTCAAAATTATTTTTGCTTTTGTTCATATATTGCCCTAGTTTTATTTATTTTGAGTTAAAATTACGATTCGGGGTTGTTATTTTATTTTATTTTTTATTTTTGCACCAGTTAACTACAACAAAAACTAACAATATAACGTGTTATGGGATAAAATGATTATTTATCTCCCATCATAAATTAACTTACCTCTGCAGGATAATATTTCCCGTCGACGGAATGTTCCGACCCGTTGCTGGGCTCTACCCCGAAATGGAAATGCAGATTTCGGAAATCGTACGCTTTTCCTTGCGACTCTAGTTGCAATGTCCCACTTGAATTAAGGTTGCTCTGGAACGTTGGTGCATGACCTTTAACAGCAAAACCGTAACTGTAGCAAGATACTCGTACACAAATCCTAAACTGTCTGCTGTCTAACATATTGTAGAAGTGATAACAACATCAAAAAGCTTTAATTTGTATTGAATAATAAACAACAAGTATCTGAGCTTGGCAATTGCTTGCGTCATACAATTTGGTGTGGTACATGTATTAAATTTGTTCGTTAAATTGTCAATGTTTGTCGGTGCATCGAGGGAGACATGATTAAGAAAATCCTACTGTGATATGATGGCGGTAAGCGAGGCTGCAAATAAATCAAGGGACGTTATATCGAGTTAAAGCTGTAGTATGGACTTCGATCTCTCAATTTTGTAACTTCAGTTTTGTAACTTCAGTGTTGTAACTTCAGTGTTGTAACTTCAGTGTTGAGCAGTATTGAGCGTATTTACGTACAATGAGCTTAAGCGTGTGTGTAATGTTTGTTGAAATAAACACGTGTGTCTGCTGTCATTAGATGTCAGTCACTCGTATTTTTTAAGCCATTATTTAGTTATCAGCTGATTTATTAAATCGTGTGGAAGTAAACCGTAGTGTACTAGACGATATTATCAGTAATGTGTATTTAAGAGATTGACCTCCCATTAACATTGTGACATGTGTTGTATAAAAAGAAATCAGATGTCGTCTTATAATTTAGAATCAACATTTCACAAACCATGCTACGTCAGCCCCTCAGATCACGTGTCAGACATAGGCCCTAATACCTCAATCATTTCTAGAACTTTGATTATTTCAATTTATTTTACAGCGAAAATGAAACAAGTCTTATCAACTTATATTATGAATCAGCCTTATTGGTTTTGATGATAGCGCGCATGGGGTTTTGATGTTGCAGTTTACAAAGTGCACTCAATGACTCGCTACGTACATGGTCCTCAGTTCCGAGAATAATGTCTACATTTAAAAAGGACAAAAGAAACATTATAATGATATGAGTGAAAAAGAGAGGAAATACGTAAGTGAATATCATAAAATGTTTGTTCCGTTATATCTTTGATGTGAGGACACATGTAAAGAACATTTTTATATTCGTTAATATAAATATAACTGTATTTGTTCTACAACAATTATGAAACAAGTTATTAAAACTTATAAAATCACTCTTTCTGGCCAAGATTTTAGCGCACGAGGGGTCTTAATGTGGGAAGAAACCGGAGTACCCGGAGAAAACCCATGTGTTGGCAGGTGATCCAATATCATTTCACGTCCGATAGAGGAATTGAACCCAGGCCGAGTGAAAGCCGAGTGCGTAATCCACTGCGCCACCCGACCACTTATAGTCGTTTATATACATTTGAATTACCATTATTTTCAAAATATCCATCGATTGTGCTGTGCTCAGATTTCAACAGGAAGACGTTATTGTTTTCGTCATTGGAAGTGAAGTGTTCCGTATTGATATCGATAGGAGATTGTCTTTTTCCTCCACACTTGCTCCATCCGGGAACATATTTCCAGTGGGAAGGATCTGTTCAAGACATCAAGAAAAGTACACTATTTTGTACATACAACGTATTGGTTTCATTCTGTGCATTTTTTTCTCATTTATATCATCAATATGTACAAGTAAATGTTAACTGATAAGAAATTTTCATTTTTATTTTGTGTTCAGAAATACTTGCAATTAGACTTAGAAATAATAACTATATTAGGGGTAAAGATATAGACAACTCTCCACTACTTCTCTCACAATATGCAGATGATACCTCTCTCATTTTAGATGGAACGAAACAATCATTAAAAGAATCAATAAAAGAGCTTAATTTATTTGCAAAAAATGTCTGGTCTTAAAATAAATAAAAGTAAAACACAAGTTATATGGATAGGCAGTAAAAAGTACAGTGATGAGATATATTATCCGGAATGGAACCTGCAATGGGGAAGTCAAAAATGTATGGTATAAGGTATAGAATTTCATGTAGATTTACATCAAATCCCTCAATTAAACTATGATAAAAGATTAGTGAAACTTAAGTCAATAATTAAGAATTTGAGTACACGAATATTTACACCAGTAGGAAGAATACAAATAATTAAATCTTTATAAATATCCCAATTTAATCATTTATTTATCTCCTTACCAAATCACCATAAGGACAATTGTAATCAAACTATCTATTGTATTGAAGATACTATTACATGTCATCTTAAATAAGCTCAGAAATACAGGGAAACATATCTGCTTTTGTTTGCCATAACTTACTGTAAAAGTGGAAATATACGAGGTGTGGAAATGTTTGCGATTTTCGCGTTGAGCAAATGAGCGCGAAAATAGCTGCCCGCAAATATTTATTCATAGAGTATATAGATTATAGCTATAATATATAAATTCCAGAACCAGTGCCAACGCAAAAATGTCCACACCGCGTAAAGGATCGCAACTCGCAAATTTCCACTTTTACAGTAATTGAACCGTTTTTCACAGTTGCAGAAAGGCACAAGTGACGGTAACGTCCTCGCGATGTCCTGGTTACATAACTATGTTTTCTAACACTAGAACAGTAATATACCGCGTGCATGTAGGTAATGGACGTCCCCATTCTTGTCCGGGTGCAAAGTAAAAGACTTTACAGGGACATGACGCAGACGGATACAGTTTTGGGGTGGCTGATACATGCATGCGCGGGGACAACTTACAAACTTAATATAACTATATAAAATATATATTGATATATAACACATGTATAAACATAGCTATTGAATGTAAGGTGTACGAATAGTGAAAGACCACCTGCGAGTGGACACTTTCTTGGTCGGGGGGCTGATCCCAGGGCTCCTCAACTCTGGCAGCCTCCAACAACCACTGAATATTCGCATATGCATATGTCAAAGGTCTATGAAAATGAGAATATCAAAATGCTGAGGAATTAAAATTTGTAAAAAAAAAAAAAAAAAAAAAAAAACAACAACACTAGAACAATTCAGCGGACCTAAATAGCCAACAGATTAGGCAACAGTGTTCATGTGCGTGAAAACATGTTCAAGAACTAACGCATGAAGTTCCAGCTTCTTGGAAACCATAGAACAACGACTTTACTCCCACAAAAATGACTGTCCGATCATTTTGGCAAATTATGCTACAGCAGGAATCAAGAAAAAATCACATAACGATTGATTTCAACGTACCGCCAAACAAAATTATTTAAATGTATATTCATTGTATTTATGCAGTACTTCATATTGCACTAACTACAGTGATTTTTATATAAATTAATATTTTGATTCTGTAATTGATATAAATGTATGATTATATATGATACTTTGTTGCAATTGTTTCTAAATTCATATTTCATCCATCAGTTCCTTTCAGCAGAGAAGATTGCAGAAGTTTACAACAAAATTAACTCGTATATCTTATATTGATTATGTAAACTTGTAAGCTATATTTGAATGCAAGACATGATTTCCTTTGTTGTCCATTAATCAATTTTGACAGATGGTTCTTGTCTAGATTTGTGTTCTTATGAAGTTATATTGTCATTTTTTGAAGAAAGGCTGACGACTCAATTCCAACTGATATGCATGTAACATGTAAATTTTGACTAACACAGAAAATGAAATTTAGAAAATATCACATTAAAAACTGAAAAAAATAAGTGAGGAAAAAGATTGTGAAATTTTAAATACAAAAGTCAACCCAGTAAACTAAGGGAGAAAGCCTCAAAGTATCGTCACACACGAGAATTGATATAAAACAGGAGAAACATGTACTGATGAAATTATATTTCATAAAATATTTTGTAAATAAAATGTACTTACCGAGATCGCCTTGATCGTCATAGTTAAAGTCGTGATTTGCTTCCACTAGGTAAACGACAGTCACAAGAACGAAAAGAGTGCGTCCCTCCATGTTATACGTATCGCACGCGCACAGTACAGCACACGGGGAAGTTATTATATCATGCATTATTGATTTTGAGGGACAAGTTCAATCAATCGGCTACAGTATGTTTCTACATTTCTGGTTAAAGCTACAATCAATGTGAATATCTAATTTAATTTTGGGGCGTTCTTTCAACGGTTAATTGGAAAAACAACTTGGATTATGGAAATATGTGACAGAACACAGTGTTAATAAGTACTGATGTATAGCAATAAGTATTACAATTACGTATACGTCATTAACACTAATACGTCAACAAATATTGGATGATGATCGGTAATTTGTGATTCGGTGTTACTATCTTTAGAAACATCAGGCTCATATTCGCTCTTTGACGTACGTTTGATAGTAATGTCGCAATGCTTTCTGTTAGATTTAATAACATTTGAATCATGACGTTTAATTTAAGGTTTTTTAAATGGACGTTGACGTTTGGTGACTATCTGTTGGGAGTCCGCGGTCTTGTTGAAACTAAATCATCAAGTGTTACACAACAAAACTGAAAACCTATCCCCCAAATATTACTTTCTCATGTCGATATAATCATATGTTAACCTTAATTATATCCATAATTGATCAATCATGCATTAACAATAATTACATAACACATACTACACAACCAAATCCTCGGTACTACATTACATAACACAAGAGTCGTTCTGTTCCAGGCAAAACAGCAGCAACAACGACAAGAGAATACCAAAGTATCAACAAAGGTTGTTTGAACACGAAACCGATAACATTGGGACAAAATATAAACAAAGGCAATGTAAAGATGGAGAACCTTGACAAAATACAAGGACAATAAGACTAGGACCCGTATTCACGAAACCGTTTTAATGCTCAAAGTCTGATTTTGTGCTCAAGCCCAATTTCTTATTCCAGTGATGAATTTATTAAAAATTACATTTTGTCAATGATCTGCACGAACTTAGGAGAGTCTTAGGACCGAATACCATTTTCGATTTTAAACCAGCGGCAAGAAAGTAGGTAAGGGAACGCATTCATGTTTACAGGCCAAGGTGTTACTGAAGGTGTCTTCTTCATAATCGACAACACCTCTATGTCAATTCAAGACGTGTCACGTATTGCATGCGAGTATCAGAGTAGTGACAACGAAGCAAACAAGTATTTATTTTTATTGTTGAAATATGTACCCATTTGAGTAAAACATAGTTAAGTATAAGTAACTTAAGTTTGTCAGAACCATGAGCTGATCATTCCTAGATCAAGTTTCAGTTAAATCGACCTATTAGAACTTGATTTTAAATTTGAAAAGGTTGTTTTCAAAATAGCGGCCGTGGCAGCCGAATTTGATTTCTGATCGACTCGAAAAATAACAACACTTGGTCAGGACCATGAGTCGATCATTCCTACCAAGTTTCAGTTAAATCGTCTTAGTAGAACTTTACTTTAAGTTTGAAATATATTTTCAAAATGGCGGCCATATTGGATATCTGATCGACCAGAAAAATAACAACACTTTGTCAGGACCATGAGTCGATCATTCCTACCAAGTTTCAGTTCAATCGGCCTAGCAGAACTTGACTTTAAGTTTGAAATAGTTTTTCAAAATGGCGGCGGCGGCGGCGGCCATATTGGATTTCTGATCGACCCGAAAAATAACATTTTGTCAGGACCATGAGTCGATCATTCCTACCAAGTTTCAGTTCAATCGGCCTAGCAGAACTTGACTTTAAGTTTGAAATAAGTTTTTAAAATGGCGGCCATATTGGATTTCTGATCGACCCAAAATATAACAACACTTTGTCTGGAAGGACCATGAGTCGAACATTCCTACCAAGTTTCAGTTAAATCAGCCCAGTATAACTTTACTTTAAGTTTGAAATATATTTTCAAGATGGCGGCCATATTGGATATCTGATCGACCAGAAAAATAACAACACTTTGTCAGGACCATGAGTCGATCATTCCTACCAACTTCAGTTCAATCAGCCCAGTAGAACTTGACTTTAAGTTTGAAATAGTTTTTCAAAATGGCGGCGGTGACGACATATTGGATTTCTGATCGACCCGAAAAATAACAACATTTTGTCAGGACCTTGCGTTGATCATTCCTACCAAGTTTCAGTTCAATCGCCCTAGCAGAACTTGACTTTAAGTTTGAAAGAGTTTTTCAAAATGGCGGCCGTGGCGGCCATATTGGATTTCTGATCAACCCAAAAAATAACAACACTTGGTCAGGGAGATGTCAGTAACATTCCTATGAAGTATCAATGAAATCCCTTCTCCAGTATTTCAGCTTAAGTTGAAAATGTAAAATGTTAACGGACGACGGACGACGGACGACGCACGACGACAGACGAAGCTAAAGCTCAGGTGACCTAAAAAGCACACTAACCATAAAACTTAAATTCGACGACTTTCATATCACACAAAGAAATTACAAGTTTCCCAATGAGATCAAGATGGCTACCACTACTTTTCATCAGCGTGCATCTCTGAAAACCCTTTTTTAGTGAGTTTGTCCGTCTATTATGGAACTCATGATAATCAGAGCATGCCCGAGAATAGCGAATCAAATACGATATGTAAACATCGTAGGTTTGGGATGCAGGGATAAAAGTATCAAGAAAGGGAAAGTTCACGGTCGGAAAATCGAAAGCGTCTCGCTTATCGTACAGTTAAGTAATAAGCTGTCCCTGTCATGTTATGAGAGAAAATCGAGGAAACCTTACCAAGACCTCCAAGTTCACTTTCAGATAAATCGACGATGTTTTTCTTTAAATAGCAAGGAACATATTTACAAAATGCATAACATCGAATTGCATAAATCTATACTTCGTACAACATTTTAAATAGTAGTAAGCAAAATTTACATTGACTAATACTACAAAACACAAAGTATATGAACTACCCTTGCATAAATAAATGTCTTTGCATTATTAAAATAGGTTACAACTTTCAACTTAACCCACCTCGTCACCTCCAATCACACGACAACATAGGAATGCATATAACTTGTGCCGTAAGCACACCAACATACCCGGTCTCCTGCATACACACACGCAAGCACGCATACACGACACACATGGAGGCAAGTACACCAACATACCCGGTCTCCTTCATACACACACGCAAGCACGCATACACTACACACATGGAGGCAAGTACACCAACATACCCGGTATCCTGCATACACACACGCAAGCACTCATACACTACACACAAGGAGGCAAGTACACCAACATACCCCGTCTCCTGCATATATACACGCAAGCACGCATACACTACACACATGGAGGCACGTCCTTAAATGACCTTACCTGTTAATAGGACGTTAAACAAAATTAAACCAAACCAAAACCGCAAAGCAAAATGGAAGTCATGTTTCTGAATTATTATATGGAGTTATACAGTATACGTACACAACCTCTTTTTTGTAGTCATTTTAATTTCTGCTTTCCTTTTTCACCCTGAACCAATTTATCTTGTGTTCGAAGTGCCCTACTTTTGTTTACTTTGAACCATTGTATTCTACAAAACCCTCTTATTGATATATCCCAGCTGTGTTCCCTACAGAACACTGCTGCAAACATCAGATGATGCCTGACTGGAAAAACGCATTAGCAGGATGACATCCTACTGTTGAATTCAATTTAACGGTAACTCCTTTTATCTAGGAATGTTTTTTTGATAAGAAAAAAACCGTTTCGTTGTCACGATTGTGTGTCATCACATTTGACACACAATACACTGGTTATTTATCTCCCAGACAACAAACAGACACTGTCGTAATCAAAGTCTGATTTGCAAAATATGGCGGTACTTGTAATTTTGACACGGTGGTTACTTAGCAGGTTCATTGTCGTCAAGATAGGGCGTGTCACATCAAAGACTTTTCTTGAGTATTCTTACGTCACCAACAAAAAAACTTGCGAATTAGGAATGACAAGGCTACTTTGATGAAATGTTAATAATGCTTTAATAAATATAAATGGATTTTGATTTTCAAAGACACAAACACACACAGATGTTGTTGGACACAGAACACTATTGATTTTTTCATACATTTCATACATTCTTGTCTTTTACCAAGGCGGCCGGGGTTCGATTCGATTATAACAAGATTATAAACAAATATCCTCACTATTGTTAGGGCCCTTTGAATGATCCCTATATCACTGGCGAATATTGTAACGAAGTAATAAGCACTGTTTTCGTCGATTTTCATATTTTCCGTGTCTGGTCTCATGTCAGCGCCTTCCCTTGAGTCGGTGTCTTTGTATTGGAGGCTTTACTTATGAAGTGCGTGTGATCATTGCAGGAAGCATAGTCTTAATTCATTACATACTCATTTTACCAGTAACAGATTGTGTACTATTGTTTACCGAGTGTATCAATAATTTACACTACGGCATTGAAATACCAGATATGCAATGCGGAAATAACGACCCGGAAATACGATCAGAAAAGTATGTGAATCACGAAGGTTTAACGATTATTAATTTAAAAAATCTGTGTACGATGAATGACGAAATGATATTATATACATCACCAGCAGCTATATAGGACGCTTAAATGGTTTATTTATAGGCTACATGTATTTGACTGTATGCTATAGTGAGTCCACTAACGCTAACATAAAATACTTCTTACTGTTCCGATACATATTTTTAAATTTAATGTATATTTGTTACTTTTTATCAATTTTTCAACATTCAATACAAGATTATATCATTGTTTATGGCTTTAAAGGTAAACATTTCTGTAGAAGTTATAAGTTTGTTGGGTTTGTTGGGTTAACAAATAAGTACTAGTTACCTCCCTTTAACCGACTTAGTTTTTCAAAAGTTTTTCCACAACTAAAGGATCTTAAATCTTTACAGAGGGTCGAGCATCAGAGGCGTGTTCCGCCGCAGGAGGGTGTTTGGCAGGAGGGGAAATTCTACTAGGCTCTAGCAATCTCCCGAATATTAACAAATAAAACACGACTTTGTATACGAATAATATTAAATTTTGTACTTTCTATGTAGTTTTTGATTT